TGATATGTTGGTACATTTCGTTCTGCGGGGTCGGGTACCGGCGTCTGCTAGCATTTCAAAAGTATTTTAGCAGTTTAAAGGGAAATTAGATAAACTGTAGATTTAATAATTAACGTTGAAAATAAGAAAAAGAAGTAAGAATAATGTACAAGTTACGACGTCACTAAACAACCTACCTACAAGTGATCATGTTAGGTTTTGTAGGAGACTGTTTAAATACAAACTGTCAGTTTGTTAGGAAGTAGTAGACATTCATGTAGCGTTTGATTTTGAACCTTTCCAGCTGTTAATCTAAATGACATGTGGATGACGATAATTTGCAAGATGCTATTGTGATAGATTGAATAGTGACACTTCATTTTGAGTTTGGTCACGTTTTAGTTGATCGAGGTTTTAACCAGATGTAAGATTCAAATTCGTGACAGAGTTCAATTCATTCGGTATAAATTTCCCTTTTATGCAGTGACAAGCTGACAGCTGACATACAATGTGGTTTGTCGTTATGTTATAGGTTTTGTTTTTTGATTATGTTGAGCAATGACATCTACCCAGTGAGAAATGTATGTCTAAACAATGTTGTTTCGACGTCGATTCGACCAGTTTTCCATAGTTTCGATGTCGTTTCGACGTCGACTCGACTTGTAATTTCTCACTGGGTAGCATTGAGTTATCCAAGTAAAGTTTGTGTTTCATTCTGAATTTTAATTTGCATCAATGAATTCACCCTTTTATGAAGAAACAAAAATTATAAGCAATTTCAATAGCCGTATTTTAGGGAATGATGTTCAAGAACAAGAACATACGATATATGTCAGACTTGATGTCTATGAAGTCAGTTGTGTAAAGTTGCAGATTTATATAGTTGGTCAGCGAAGCATGTCAAATAATTTTTTGTTTTAACATTACCGTTCCCAAAGTATCTGCATTGAGTTCGGTTTGCCTAATTTGTATGATATATTTACAGTATCGTTTCTGATTTTCTGTATTGAGTTAGGTTTTGTTAGTTTAGGTTTGCTTCATTTTTCTTTTACATTTACAGTATCGTTTGTGATTTTC